CGCGTTTCGATTGAATTATAGAAATGGAGAAACGGAGTTTGTTTGCAGATTTATGTTTCTCAAATGAGAATCGTTGTGTAGAAAAGACTTAGTAATGTATTGATAATCTTCAATTTTTGTTATTTGCATAGGTTTTTGTTTTATTCGTAGGAGGTGCCAGTGTGCGGTGAAGAATGTAGATCGGTTCTAGAAACGTAACCACCTATTTATTTCGTCTCTTGCGAGGACTAATTGTTTTGACAGATTAACGCTTTTATGGTTTCGAGTAGTATGGGAAGGATATCCTGTGAGAATATAGGTGATCGGTGCCAGACATGAAATTCCTGTTTTCTTTGGTGGAACTGTAACGACGAATATATGCGCACTTTGTGAAATGAAGCGTCGTTTGAAAAGCGAAATACGAGACGGTTATGACTGTTACCTACATTTTATCTGTTGCCGTTTTCTGATAATGGTGGCGCTGGTTCGAGCGAGGCTAGAATTAAATCACTTTCATCGCTCGGAATGTATCTGACTTGATTGTAGTAGGCGTAACGTAATTAACGTAGTTACGTCAGTGTTTTGTATATCCTGAACGCGCGTCTTAAACATTTTCCATGAAGACTTCGAAAAATTGTATCTAAAATAGGAATACTCTTTCCAAATTCTAGTGGAATCCTTAAAAATGGCAGCTCGGATCGACGCAAATCGTTCGAAAATAGAATTCCGAACACTAAAAGCGAAATCGGTTTGATTTCGTAACATTCAGCGTCGATTAGAACTTCTCGACGTCACGCCGACATCCCAGAAAGCATTTCGCTGTTCGATTACTCGTAAATGCCTCGATATTCAGAAAAATCGGCGGCAATTATCAATTCGTCGAGGTGCGCCGATGTTATCGCGAAGAGAAAACTGGCCGCGCGACGTGCCATGAGCTGAAAATAGTAAAAACACTGTTCCGAGCTTTGCGAAATCGAACCACAATTGCTGTCGCCCGGGAGCGTTCAGGAATTCCCATTCCAGCGTGAAAAATAAATGAACAGGGTGGCAAGGTACCGTTTCCCAGGCGTCCGCGCGTAGAAATAGAAGAATCCGATCGCGGGAAAGGAAATTTATGCCACAATGTAGGGTCGCAGTTTCAAAAACGCGGTCGAACGAACGCGCGAATCTGGTTACGAGGCGTCGGCACTCGTCTTTTATTGTTACGGACGTCACCCGGGTACTTTCTAGTGTGCGACGATCGTGTGTCCGAACGCGATTCCCGTGTCCCGGGTCACGTGGACGATTCCAACGTTTGAGAAGACGCAACGCGCGATAGGTGGAAGTGTGCCGATCAAAACCTGCACGCCGGTGATCAGCACTTTGTGCGGTTCGTTTTTCTCCTGTTTCAAACCGGACCGGCCCGGTAAAAACAGACGAACGAAGAAAAAGGAGTAGCACCTTATTTGTGCCAGATCTATTGGCGGATAGGCAGTTTCGCGTTGTAATAAAGTTCGAGTAACTGCCGCGACGCCGCAGGAAAGCGGTATCAATTGGCATCGGGATTTATCTCCGGGACGACAGTGCCGATTTAGAGGTCTCTGTCACGGAGAAATGATATAGGGATCGCAGAGTTAGTTCCAGATTCCTGGATTCCGGGAAAAGGAACGATTTTCTACGAGAATTTTCGATGTCGCGCAGCTTGAATCGGGAATAACGACGCTGGGCGAGGTGTGATCGTAATATTCTCGTAACGAGCGATATTTCCTTTGTGAATTGTAAGTTTATACATTTATTCATGAACTGATTCTAATCCGATGAACCGCGTACGTTGATTTATTCGCGGAGAATTGGGAAACGTTCGCACTTCTACGTCCGACTTTAAGGCGTGAAAAGGACGTTAACGGTACGTTTCGAGCATTAATTAGGATTAAGTTTTTCAATTATATATACTAAACTGTGTTACATATCAATCTGTCCGTACCCGACTTTCTAATTATAAACAACTCAAATAACACGGTGCTCGTGGTATAACGTAGTTTCCAATCAGAACTTCAAAAATCCTGCGAAGCGGAGTATTAATTACGTAATTCTCTACTTACATTGTTCCATGTACTCTACATATAGATACAGAGTACGCGACGACTGGGGTTTCGATAACAGAGCGAAACCGTCGGATTTACATGATTTATAATCGAAATCCTCGATTAACCTCGACGAGTATACACGTCATTTTAAAACGCAAAATAGTAGTGTTCTTAATGAATTATTCATTTTTCCAGATAAATGTGTAATTCTTCGTTTTGCTTTAGTTGTCCGTTAGAATATATTATAGTTACATGTGCTCTGCGCTTTATTATTCGATTTCATTGCGTACAATCAGAGATTCAAACTAAATTCCACGGTTAACTGGTTAATACGGTTTTCCATGTCACGCGACTGATTAATCGCGTCAATCGACAGATGATACTGTCCGTTCACTATTTTCCAACATGGACGTCGAAGTTTTTCGATTTACCGTTTCTCACATGGTTTCCACGGTGACGTAAATCGCGCGTAACACCCGCGAGGTTAGCTGCGCCGAGAAAATGGCGCGGTTAATTACGTCCAGTTGGATAACGAACCGTGCGCATCCAAAACCGACAAGAAAGTTGATTTATCGGTGCAACCAGTTCCTCGCCTGGCCTGCATAGAACGACGCGCCCCTCGGTCGTCGAATTATTCTCTCCTCCCGGCATTCCTAATCCTTTCGATCGGGAAACGACGATAACCATCGCAAGGATAATAACACATTCTACGAATGTTCTAATTGTTCCCCGCTGTGGATCCTGGCCAGACCACCCGAGGTGAATTTAATCGCAATCTCAAAGCAGCCTGTTCGAGAGAACAGCGACGTGAATCTTGTTATCAGCCACGTGAAGGCGGCAATGCGTGACCGTAGTCTGTGATTCGTGGAACACTATTGACAAGTGTTTCAGCTTTGCACTAAGAGAAATACAAAGTGGATTGCTTTTTGGAATAGTGGAATCGATAGTCTTTTTCTTGAGCGAATCGACGGGGTAAATGTGAAAGGTCACTCTGTCATCACTCGATTTCATGTAGTAAAACTATAAAATTTGATATTCAATATTCAACTGTATATAATGAATTGGTGTGTGAAATATTGGGATGAACAGCTTTGTTCCTCAATTCACTTGCAATTTTTCTTTGGGTTAATTTGAAAAATATCGTCTGTGTTTAGTTAGAAAATGTTGAATATTTCTAACGAAATACTTTCGAGTACAAAGGGTTAAACGCAGAATATAATTGCATGATTGTCTTGAACGGTATGCTTTCATTATTGGACGATATTTCGTTAACATTGGTAAGCTTTTCTACAAAGTGAAGACGGTGTTTATTTTATACGTTCATGTGAATATGGAATATGTTTATTTTAATATACCCGAAGCTTTTATCTTGTAAAATGCGTTAAATGGAACTGGATTTTAAGTGGAAACCGATGTTATAGGTCAGGCGGGCGGCAAGAGAGGATGCAAATCGGGAGAAGTCTAAATTAAGGGGTATTTAATTGAATTAGAATAAATTTGTAATCAATGGCGAACACTGGTCATTAAAATAGCCAAATAGGGCCTATCTACAGTGGACTGGTTTCGTTTGAGAGAGTCGATGCGTCGGAAAGGAAGAAACATCGATATTATAAAATCCTGTAGGAAAGAAATTGATTTACATAGTACATATATTCATTCAACATGTTAGATATTGATCAACTTATTTAAATATTCGGTCTCATTTCTGTTCGAGAAATGTCTGCAGCGTTGAACCAGAAATCTCTTCGCCCGGTTACTTTCGAACGACAAACTTCTGTACATTCTAGCAACACTTTGCGATGAAGATGCTCTAATTAGTGCGACATTTCACAAGATAGTTGCACGAAATAGTTGACGGTGTCTACAGATAATGCAAACGCAGCATCTGTTACATCCGATTTTTCTAACGCCGTTTAATGAACGCAGTTCCTCGAAAAGAGGACACACGTTCACAATCGCAACTGCGGTGCTTACGTTACTGATGAGTCCTTGATTATTCGCTGATCGCGCCATTAGAATGATTATCAACCCTGTACCGTTAATAACAATCCTCCGAATCCACCAGCCTGCGTTCCAGTTCTCCAGATAAACGGCACAGCATCTGAAATGAGAACACGAACACGACACACTAACGAAAACGAATTTTCCAAGCTTCCCATCTGACGTGAAAATATATTTTCTAAGAGGATAATGTTTCAGAGCAAATTAAGGGAACACGCACAGTTTCTCCTATCGATACAGATACATTCAATGAAACTCCATATTCTATGAACTGGACCTCTAGTGCTCAACAAATCTGATTGGATCTATTTATTCATGAAACTGACAAAACGTTCGTAATATTGTTCCATTGTTAGTACCCCAAACAACACCAGAGATCATCGATTCTTCCTACATAATCTTCTTCATAAAACTAACAAACGTTCGTCACATCATTCCATTGTTAACCCTTTGCACTCGAGCAGCGCCTTTCAATCGCCATTTAATTTGACCCATGAAAATGATAAAACTTCAAATTCAGTGTTAAATTTGTCTATAATGCAACACATGGAACATCGAAATATAGTTCTACTTAATTTAAGCAAGGTATTCCTTTACGTTAGTCGTGAAACGTATCATTGATCTTTCACCAGGAAATAATGAATATTTGTTCAGAAGAATTTCTCGAGTGCAAAGGGTGAACACCTCAAACAACAGCAGAAGATCACCGATCGTTCCTCCACAACCGAATCATTCAGAAATCCTTCGGGATCTCTAAACCATTGAAATTCCTCCATCTAGATAGCCGGTGTCGTTGAGAGCACGCGCAGCGCGTGCTGCATGCGCGCGTGGCTGCACCAAGCTCCAATCTCTCGGTGCAACAACATTATCTAAGCCATGGACCGGTACCCCCACCGACCTAAATGCACGCCGTATAAATGGCCAAGACACTATCTGTCCAGTGTCAGTGAGCTTGTGGACCTAATCTCGCTCGCGAACGAGATCTGGGCGTGTCGCGCGGCCGGTTAGGCTCGATTTTCGCGGGACGTCGATCCTTCAAGGCCATGTGAACATCCTCGAGGAGTCGCCGCGCGGGACCGTTAGTGCATTGAGATTGAACCCGGTTTTGTTCGAACCATGAACTGTGAAAGGGGCGACGCATCTTGTGCCCGGGGACGTCGGGGATCGATCCTGACGCGTGCCGGCCTCGTTCTGTTGACGGTCCTCTATTTCTCGCGCAACAACCTTGCCCTCGCGCTACGCAACTCGTCGAGCACGTTCGTCGAGCGCTGTCGCGCCGACTGCAGCCTGCAGAAGGATTTCGCGAGCTGCGGGAAATACAGAGTTGTCAGGTGGCTCCACGATGTCAGAGAGAAGGTATCGACGCGTTTCGTAAAAATATTTCGCGAGGCCAACGTGTTCGTTGGCTCGTCTAACGAGTAATCCGATTTTCTGGTATTTCTGTTATTTTTTCAAATGAGGATGAAAAATTCTTGAGTTCTTTGTATTTGGATTGAAGTTTGTTGTATTTTGTAGCATAGATATGTTTAGTTTTGTTGATAGTCCTATTTTAGAGGGTGTATATATTTATTTTTATACGTATCTGCCTTCTTCGTTTTTAAAAATGAGGATGAACGAGGTTCTTAGGGTGCATTTGGATTTAAGTTTGTCGTAGTTTGTACAGTTGTGTTCAGTTTTGTTTGCACGGGTATTTTGTAGGGTGTAAATGTTTATTTTTATACGTATTTGCGTTGTAAATGGAGAGTGTCGAACGGTGATTTAGAAGTAGGTGAAATTCTGGAAAGATTTGCTTTCGAAAATGAATCGAGCGTGTACGCAGGTGTTTACATTGCCGAGTCCCAGGCAATTATTATCATTCACACTCACGTAACAGTGAGAGTATTGACACTGAAGATGGCGTAGTAGGGCACGCACTTTCGCGGACTTTTATTTTTTAATTAACACCGTTGAATATCTGCCGACATACTATTTCTAGAATTTCCGTGGACTTAATGACCTGTTATAAATCACGCGAACCGTTAAATCGATTTTAAATGTTAAGCGAGCCACCGATGACACTAACTTTCGCCATTTAGAGCACGGACAAACAGGGAAAATGTTTCGAATTCGCACAGTGCTGTTAATCCGTCGACAAATCTGCAATTACTAACCAGCTAAATATTTACCAAAACTGAATGTTTAGAAAGCTATTAGAAACTCGAAAAACTCGAAAAATAACACGTTACCTTCTTCCATAGAGAAGTTTCCATATATCCTACATTAACTACTAAAACTCACCATTAAAAGTAATTCTCCCAATCATCATTAACACTCCAAATAATCATAGTTACCATTCATTACATTTTCCAGAACATACAAACGAAATTCGCATCAGATACTTTCAACGCCAACGATAAAGGCTTGCGCGAATTTAACGCAGATTATGAGGCAATTAATTAATTCCCGCGTTGCGTTAGGGTATAGCAATGTCCCCTAAACTCGGAATTTCCTCGTCTGGCTTTAGGAGTTCAGCTACGGTTCGTTCCGCGTAATAAGGATACCGTCTATGCCGAGCCAAACGATCCTTCCCAAGCTGCCCCAGTCTCGAGTGTTCAAGAGCGGCGCGGTCGAGGCCTTGAACTTCGTCAGGGACACCGTGGAGGACCTGCTAACGAAACGTGCTATCGTGTATACGATCGACAACTCCGTGGCCGGACGGAGTTTCGGTAGAATGCCCATGATCATGGACGAGGACGAGATCACGCAGCTGCAGAGCAGGGCAGAGACGCATGGTAATTTCGATGGCCCCGTCTCTAAAAGCATATCAATCTTCCGGAACGGGTTTACCATGTTTAGCAACTCGAACGTTTCGAGAACCCGTTAACGCGTCTTAATTGAAACACCATTCGAATCGGGACATTAAGCTGATTCGGGGAAAGATAGAGAAATGGAGATTCGGAGGTAAAAGTCAATGGTATAACGAAGATAAATTGTGTTCGCTTTTTGAATTGTATAATTAACCCTTTGCACTTCGTAGGCTCCAATACTGCACCAGTTATAATATTAAATATTTGAATGAATCTGGAAACTACCCTAAAATTATTCGATTTTTCGCATATCCAAGTTTTGTACTAAGAAGGAAAATAAAAGAATAAATGTTATAGCATTTAGAATACTATAAAAATTCGTTGCAGTTGCTAGATTACGAAACCATCTGGAGTGCTAAGGGTTGAAACTCCATTGATTCGAATCGGGACATTAAGCACGGGGAAAGATATAGAAAGAAATTGAAATTCGGAGATAAGAGTCAATGGTAGATTATCTCTGCTTCGATTTGTTCAATTTGAAAACTGTGTCAGACGACTCGAGGCTGCTCAAGAAGAAAAAGTCGGTGATCCTGCCTCTGCTGATCCTCCTGAACCTGCTGAAGCTGAAGCTGCTGCTGCTGCCGATCTTCCTCGGCGTGCACTTCATCAAGAAGCTGTTGGTGCTGGGTTCCCTGGTGCTGCCGTCGGTGTTATCGCACCTGAAGATATGCAAGGTGCCTCCTCACCCTCAGACGTACCCGTACCACAACTGGGCCACAGCGGCGGAGGCGCCGGTCGACTATCCGACAGGTAAATCGATCGAAACACCACTGTCCGTTAACGATCCCCCCACGGAACGGTCGCAGAAATCTCGGTGAACCCCGAGCGTCCTCCGACGATTGACCTAAACAATAGTAATCGATCGTACGCTGAATAACACGAAAAACGGGCATCCTGCCATCAACTACAGTTACGCAACCATCGACGATTCCAAGGATTGCTGGTTGCACGAATGACAGAATTCGATAATGTATCAACCGCGACGGCAATTCCCGTGATTACGCCCGGGGTACAGATAACTTCGGCGTCTCCAGACCGTGACAGCCACTTCGCGAAGTGTACTAACTGCTTACGAAGTTTTTTTGCGTTCGCCATCTTCGACGAGGAAGACGACAAGCGTCTCGCGGACGGATCAAGTGAATTCGCTTTTACTTCTTAACTAACCGCGAAGCTCGGCGTTCGTCGAGTTTTTGCCCCGACGAACTTTTTCCACTTTTATCTTCGATATCGAAGGGGAAGAAGTGTCTCGGAGAAGAGATCGGCTCGTTTCGATCCTTATCGTTTTGTTCTCTGATCCCGTAGGATACGGACAGGAGGAAGCGTGGGCGCACAGGAACGACTACCAGGGTTACCCCGCCGCCGTTTACAACCCCTATCATCGCAACCCCTACGGATGAGGCTGAAACTTAATTCTATGGTCCGACGAGCCGTCTCGTTCGTCGTCGCGATTTTATTCGCGCGAGCGAACGGTTAATCACGCTCATTACCCCTTTCCTTTTTTGCGCTGACTTTCGAACGCATTGCGCGCGTGCCGATAGTCTCCTTCCGGCGGCTCACTAATCCCCTTTCGTCGCTCCTAAGTGTCCTAAGCGGCTGACAATTGCTCGCGCTTAGAAACCTCGTTTAACGCCGATTAGCGTTTCCGTTTCGCTGGGAAACGTCCTCGCGGCGTTACTTTCGCGTCCCGCGGTACCGTTAGCCGCGGTGGGATCAAGACCGACAAGGAATGCTCTCGCTGGGATGGGGTGGTTACGATCGATTCCAGAAGGTTGAAGGTTGGGTCGGGTAGGGGCGAATTCGTTCGTTTATTTATTTCGTTTACTTAGTGTAGCTTGGAGCTGTAAGAGTCGTGGTTTCGATCCCTTTACGAAGCGAAGCGATTGAGTTCTGAACTCTTGAACTGATTAAGAGAAGTATTCATTTGAGGGAAAACTGAAATTTGTAATTTCTCAATTTGGATTAGAATTGACATTTGTGCAGCTGAATGTCTCTTTAGTGTTCTGAGATTCCTATGTATGTTTCAAGGGTTTCTAAGTTTTTTCAAGAACTGACTGATTAAGAGAAGTATTTATTTGAAGGAAAACTGAAATTTGTGATTTCTCAATTTGAATTAGAATTGACATTTGTGCAGCTGAAAGTCTCTTTAGTGTTCCAAGATTCCTATGTATGGTGTTTCAAGGGTCCTTTTTTCAAGAACATCATTAAGGGGTTGAACCAACTTCGAAGTGTATCCTAATTTAGAGTAGAATCTTAATTTATTCCATCGTCGAGTGGTAGGTAGGTATATTTATTTCAGCGATATGGAATTCTGGGTTAGGTGTTTCTATGGAACACGCCATCTTTGATCCCATCGCCAACCGTTATGCGACGGCGAGTCAGCGATGCCATGGGCCAGCGTCACGTGAGGCCCGCCGATGGTGTTTCGAAGACTGCATCGGTGCCCGTGGGATTTTCGCGGAGCGAATGAACTGGATTCGCACGCGAGTCTTCGGTAGTTGTAATGCCCACGGGCGTGTAATATTGATCGCCGTGAATCCGGTTGCCATTCCCAGGGAAATTTGCCGGGCAGGGGTGCCTTGCGTGATGTCAAACACTTCCTGGATCGTGATGGCGTAAGTGCGTCGAGGTATGCGGACTATTTACGAACGCAGATGTATATAATGATACTGGTAACGGAGTTCGTGATAGTTGGGTGGATTTTCATGTAATAATGTAAGGAATGCGACGCCATCTTGGTTTTACTGGAACGACAGTGTGCGTGTGCGTGCGTTTATTACGATAATGAATAGAGGACAACTGGAACAGTCGAAGTTCTAGGATTAGCTTCGAAGAATGATCCGGCACTCGAAGGAACTTTTCGATGACCGATAACCCTTTGCACTCGGGAGATGACTCTCACTCACTTGATTTCATACAGTAAAACTATAAAATTTGATATTTAGTATTATATTTCCTATAATGCATCATTTCGAGGAATATTCAAGTGAAATAGCTTTGTTCCTCAATGTACGCGTGATTTCTCGTAGACTTAGTTTCACAAAATATCGATTTTATCTCATCAGAGAATGTTCAAATGTTTCTAGTGAGAAACTTCCGAGTGCAAAGGGTCAAGTAAGGATAAGCTTTCGGGAATAATGGATGATATCGAGGTAGTCTCTGAAGAGTTGCCTACGATTAAAGAATGATTGGATATCTACAGAACTGTGTAAGTTCGGAGATATGCCCAATAATTGCCTTTGAACCCCAAATCCTTGGAAGATCTCCAGGATCCCTAAGATTGCGGTCCTTCGAGTGCCCGAGTGATGGCTTTCAATGGCACACTTCAACCTGTAGTTCTACGAACCAATGTGCACGACTAAGAGAATATATATAATTATTCACTACCTATTTATTCCCATAGAATAGCAACCACATCGACTATCGACTACAATGTAAAATCAAATATACCATTACGAACAATGTTTCTGCTTCACTCCCATGTCTCCACGAACTCACTCAAATCAAGAACGGAGAACTCCGGCTGTTACCATTATTCCCATAAAAACGATAAGATCCTCGAAACCCCGACTGACACGCGATCCGTAAACCGCAGTTAGCCGTCTCGAGCACCTGTAATCGCTCTAATTAGCTTCAATTGCTCGCGATCGTTAAAGCTGCAGCCGCAGCTGCACGGACGTAATCCGAGACATCCTCGGACAAAAGTCCCCTTGAACAGGTTGTCGGGTCAAGGTCGAGGCGCGGAGACCTGGAACGAGACACGAGTGACCTACTGACAGATTTGGGCCCGCGCCCAGGCCCCCGGCGCGCGCGCGCACGCACCGTGGCGCGCGTGCTGACCGTCAGACCGTTATCGGCCCGCGCAGACCAGTCCCAGGCGGATGTGGCTCGGCGCCCGGCGACTCCGATCGCGTCGGGCCCTGCTGTTTCGCGACAGCGGGCCCCGGTGAACCATCCGCGAGGCTAATGACAATGTTCGGCCACGGGAACGACGGGCCGCGAGCGATCGGGATCGGAATCGGCAGGCGATGCCCGAGGAGACCGAGCCAACCGACACGCAGACCTGCACCCGCCTCGCCATAACTCGACCGTTACGTTCTTACGTTAGAACCAAGCCGAGTATTAACATAACGGCTCGCTGCCGCGATGCGTACTCCCGATGCTCCGATATATCCCGCGATCGATATGCTGACCTATGATGTTTGGGCTAGGTAGCCGTGATGGATAGATGGTCGAGCTTCGATGGACGAGTGGGTCTGGAAAGATCAGTGGGCTTGGGTTGGCAAGTGAGTTTGGAATGGTAAGTGGGTCTAGATCAGGAGTTTATGATGTTTTTTGGGTTTGAAGTATCTTTTTGGGATGTGGGTCATTGGGTAGATAGGTGATCGGTTTTTTGTGACCTAGGGTGTTTGGGCTAGGTAGCTATAATGGAAGGATGATTGGGTTTGCATTGGTAAGTGACTTTGGACTGATAATTGGGTATAGATCAGTGGTTTTTAATGTTTTTTGGGTCTAAAGTATTTCCTTGTGATGTGGATCATTGGGTAGACAGGTGATTGGGTGTGGAGCCTTTTGGTGAACGGTTTTAGGAGATACGAGACTTTCTCGAGAGAATATGGGGAATTCTGGGACTGAGAATCTGGCGTGGGCGAAAAGGTTGAACGAAGTGTGGCTGGATGCAGGGTTCACTGGCCTTTAGGTATAATTTGTAGAGAGTTTTCGTTGAATTTGGGAACGGAGAAATCCTTTCTTTCAGTAATGGGTAGTTGGGGCTGAAGGCGAATTGGAGGATTTCGCGTTGAGATCGAGCCTAGAAAAATTGTACAGCTGGCGAGCAGGTGGCTTGCATTCACGAAAGAAAATGACGAAGCAGCTTGGATTACATCGAGTGGGAAGCGATCGGAGCACTTTCTAAAACCGGTTCGTTTTTCGGTTTCTGGTTGCTCCTATTTCTTGGAGGCCTCCTCTTTTGGGATCGACTTGCCTCGCCTCGTGCATCACATGTATTTATCAAGGAATAATGTACGTTTACTTGCCTTTGAACACTCGCAGAGTTAGTCCGTTAATCACTAATCTTTTTCAACTTACATCAACTAAATAAATGTCATGAATTACGTTGAAAACATATGAATTTCGTTGAAGTTCATTCTCTCTTCTTTTTTTTTTAATTGGTTTGGAGTATTTGTGCAGGGAACACTGTTGTACTTGGCATTCATGGTAGAATGCAGCGATCTTCGAATCCAAAGACGAATCCTCCGTGATTAAGACGAATGATTAACCGTCCAATTGTCTGTGATTCGCGTTTGAATCCATCTCCGAATCAATTATCATAAGGGAGACTAAAATACTGAGAACCGTCAGAGTCATCGTAGAGTCCGGAATTTTAGTAGCGCAGTGGGACATACAAACAGACATTCCTCCGCGTCAAACGTGATAATTATGCATCGGGATTCTCTATCAGGGGATCTCCGACACGTAGCTTCTGCTTAATTCATTAGTAATATTGAAATGACCGGGTCCTATTCACGGTTTTCCAAGAAAGTGTAAACGATCGGTTATCCGAAGAATCTCGTACAACAGGGGGTTCCAGCCTCCGAGTGGATCAATAAAACGACGATTGGCCAGCGACAGCTAACTAATGCCTTGACCCGAATACAGGATAAATGATATCGTTAATGAAACGACACAATTATTTGTCATCTAATTGCAGCCTCGACTTCTTAATTCAACAACGCGCGACAGACGCCTGTTAACCTAAATTCCCCGCTTATCAGAGCCGCGATAACATTAACCGAACTCAAGTAAACCGAACTTTGTCTGCGGCACTAACTGAATCAATGATCTCCGCGAGGATCAATATTGAACATTACTAAATCACGATAAGTGTAACGAAATAACACTCACTCCAACTTTCTTCATCATAAATTTCCATTGCTGTATAATTAGTCGAACGAAGCATCAGTCTCGATTTGTTAAACGAGAACCATCCATAGTGTAAATTCCTCTACTTTTCCACGGAACAACTGCGAAATCGAATAAACGACGCTGGCGATTTCCAGTTCGAAAACAGCTTTAATCCCAGGACACCTCGAAAGAAGAAACTTCTTCGCGAAGGAAGAGAAATTTGAATTTGTCAGAAATCGCCGGCTTTAGAATCCTCCGATCGGTTCAATGATCGCGCGTGCACCTGTCGCGCTCTTTTCCGACGAGACAAATAAAAGATTTTTCGTAACGTAACTGGTGCGAGGATAATTGTCATTGACGGCCACCTAGAGATTATCGTTCAGTAATACCCGGCTGACGGAGGATAATCTCGCCGGGCCAATGCGCTCTGCAACAATCTTTGAACGCGGCGCGCGTAACGCGAGCGAGGAATTCTTTAAAAAGGAAGGAGGGCAGCGTTCACGGCGTGACCTTCTTTCGAACGAAAATATATTTTTAGTATGCCTCCGCGCAGCCGAGCGGCATTGACATTGACCGTACGCACGATAACGACGATCGCCCGTGAACCGGAAACGCTGCGCTGTCCAGGTGAATCATTGTTGCACGCTGGTGAACGTGATTTGTCTAAATGCTCGACGTGAAATCGATAGGAACGGTTCTCTGGTAGAATTCTTTCGGAGGAAACCGTTCCATCTTCTTACTAATCAATTTACATCTTCAGTCTTTCAGTTTACGCAGTTGTAATGCTCATTTCCGATGGAAGTGATTCATTACGAATGAGTTTGCATTATATTATAATAAATTCATATATTCGTTATTTAGAATCCCTGAGAATTTTGAATAATGACCTGTTAATCACTCGGCTTATAACGCATGCTACTGTCGTTTTACTGTACAATTTCCATCGAAAGAAATCTTCTCACTAATGAATTCAATTTTTCACGTGCGCGTCTGCTATTATTCTACTGCGCTTAACAAACTTTCCTTTCTGTTACGAATAATCTTCAGATCTTTTAGGAACGGTAAGATAAAAATTGGTATTCAACTCACGGGACCGGTCGAATTTTCCCAGGCCCGCGTGAAGCGCGTGCCGGCGACCGGCGATTTCGCGGAATAGACGGGACCGCCTTTGAATTCGGGGCGAGGCAGCGGAGAAATCGCTCGTAAAAGTGTGCGACGCTCGTCGAAATCGTGACGAGTCTGTTCGGACGTCCGCGGGACGCCCATCTGGCTCGTTACCGTTAGCGACGCGATTTTTTCGAGGTATCGGTGACGCGACGCGTCGGGAAACGTTCCTCAGGGCGCGTGGAAAGAAGAAGTCGACGACGGCTGCTTATCGCGGTTGATCTTTGAAGGCACCGATGAAAAATAAAGATGAAACCGGATTAGCAACCCACTTTGGAGACGACGGGAAAAAGATAACCGAGGCAACCTCGTCGGGCTTTTTGTTCGAGACGTTTGATAGGCGTGAAGAGGTCGTAAATCAGATTCTGCCGAGTGCAGCAGAAGCAGAATTCTCACTTGGATCCTTCGATCGGCGTGTCCGACCGAAGTTCGTTATGATTTTGATCGGTCGACAGGTGCCGGCGCAAACGTAAATATTTGCGAAATAATTGAAGTGCACTACCGACGGATCTATTTATTCTATTTTAGACTTAAGAAGCTTCAAGATAATGTTGAAAGTATAACTACTCGATTCTCAGCGATGTACTGTCTTCCATGCGAATTCCGCGAATCGTTTTTGTGAAAAGATCGTTTAAAGGCTTCGACAATTTTTCGAGTGATCTTCTATCGGTGTTAGTTAAAATATTAGTTTCAATAACGCGATACAATGTTTGTTTATTCGTAGATTTACGTGTTATTTGTAGCGTTGTCTTGTTTATTTACCTTGCGCGCTGGACTGCGTTCAGTTTCGACAGTTCGGGCCGACGACACCGCTTGACCACGCGTCGAAGTCACCGGAGCGGCGTCAGCACTGGCGTCACGTCCACAGTTTTAACGTGCGGACATTAACCCACACTTTCCACTGTAAACTTCGCCGCCTAATCCTTAATAAATCAACGCACTCGCGCCGGAAACAATCGCCGCGAAACGGTGCGGTGTTCACTATGAAATTTTCGATTTCGATTCAGACTCGCTGTCCACTGGACTTCTGGTCGCGGCGAGAATAGTCAATGTCAACGGTACAGCGAAACACCTTCGCCGACGTCCTTTCTAAATCAGTCGTCGAGAACTAATGGCTCATTACGGGACACCCGCCGCGTGCGTTTTGGTTTCACGATCCTCCTTACGAGCCGTGTCATTGTCTCTAAAGAACCGTCATGTTGCTCTCATGGTCTCACGCGGCGTCTCTGAATAAGGGAACTTGAAATTATCACAAGTGTTTAAAGAAGTGAATGAAGGTGACGTGTCTGTCGTCATTACTGAGTCGAGAATTAAATCTATATGCATTGCAATCAATATACTATGGAAACAATAGAACGCTGTAAGTCATGCATGGAAATTTAAGACGACAGCTTAAATACTTCATTATTCTAAATTGAGCAAAGTATTACAGTTTTATCAATAACGAATTCCCAAATATCGAATAATACCAATGAGAAATTTAAACAATCCCAAATACAAGCACTAAACTCTAACAGAACCCACCGGAAACAATGAAATCAATTCCCAATGAAAGCCCACGCGAAACGTAACGAACACGCATGACATGTCCGTTACAAGGACAATCGGCGCGACGAAACGCAGCATGAGAACCGAGTAAAGCGTCAACGAAAGGAATAAAAGAAAATGGACAACCGCACGTCATCAGCCGAAATTCCAACGGGTGAAATCGGCTGGGTTGTCGTTAGACCCGCGTCGAATTCGATCGGATTCATAACGGAGGAGGACGTCTCGCCGCGCGGGGACCGACGAGGGAGAGAGAAAGAGAGAGGCAGACGGTTCGGCGGTAGCGGAACCGGCGAATCAACGAACCTGGAAGAGAGGAAGGTGGAAAGGAACGGACAGAGGGTCGGACAGACGGATGGCCGGGTAACCCAGATCGGATCAGTCCGGTCGATCCGAACCGAGGCTCGCCAGTACCGAGTCGACCGTCGCGCGCACGATCGCGGCGTCCCGATCGTTCCCTTCGAGCAGCGCGATCCGCCTGGAAGCTGAATCACCGTGATCCAGGACCACACCAGAAGCGTCCAGCACCATTCCGGNCCAGTGAGTACACGCATTCCGCTCGCTCGGTAGGAGGATTCGCGCAATCGGTCAAACGGTTAACCGGCTGACTCGCCGTCGCGTTGCTCGATTTGCGAGTCGTCCCGAAGTGTCGCGCGACACGCTGTCCCGGTAGGAGGACTCGCGAGACGTCGGACACGCGACTCGAAAGTCGCCTCGGCTCGCCGGATCCCGTAACCGAGCGAAAAAGAAGACCGCGAAAAAAGGCGCGTCGGTCAGTTGTACCGGTCCACTTGTCCTCGGAACAAGAACGATTCGTTCGACGCCCGTCGAGGAGGGTTCGGGAAACGAGGAGGCAATTAACGACGCCGGCGATCGAATCTTCTCTAGACAATAGGAGTATCGAAGAGGTACAGCGCGAAGAGAGTCAGCTGCGAAGAAGCCGGCGAAAGAGGGCAACTCGATTCGTCTCGGAGCGAGGGAAGGAACGAGTAACGATTTTCTCTCAATTCCAGGGGACGTCGAGCGAGCGCAGCGGACCGAGATGCGGCCGTCTTTCGGCTAGTAAAAGTAGCTAGCCTGGACGAAGATAAAAAGCCTGAGAGGAAGCCGGGGCGGGGGTACCGAGTGACAGGGTCGAGCGTGCGGATTCGAAGGCCGGCCACCATGGACGGATCGAGAGGCGGTTTGCTCCTGGTGATCTTGGCGGTCGCGTGGCTGCAGCCTTCGCTCGGGGTCAAGGACCACGTGGCGAACGAGACCGACCAGGAGGATATCGCCAACGAGGTGTCCTTCATCGGCGACGATTATTTGGATCATCCGCATAGAATGCCAGGGAAGCCTAGTAAATTCGACTTGAACGTGAACCAGGTGATACAGACGGACGACGAGTCGCAGTATCAGATCGAAGCTAGCCGATTGGAGAACGCCACGGCTTATCCGGCCTCCGATAACTGTCGCAACGATTCCGCTGGCGCTTGCTCATCGAAGACGGATCTGTTGCGGCTGATGGATCAGCTGGTCAGGACGGGAGACGATAGCGCGAACGGTACCGCGGGGATCGCTGGGACCGAAGAGGATTCGGCTCCCGTCGCGAGGAAGGACGAAAAAGGTAACGACCGGCCGGACGCAAGCCTTGTCGATAAATCTCGCCGGTACGCCAGGGAACGCGTAGTAAAGATACGCCTGAGCCAGGGCTCGGTGTCCTCTAGAAAAGCTAGAACCTTCTTCAACGGTGAGTCCACGGAACCTCGAGTCACGCTTTCGTAAACTCGCGCCGCGCGCCGCGAGATGCTGAGCCTCTGCGATGTTGCTATGGCCTGGCCCGCCTTCACCGCGCGAGATCCGATCTCAGCTTGTCCGCCGACGTTTCTCACTGTGTATGTGTGTGCGCAAGGGTGCTCGGGGTATCGTCCTCGGCAGAAAGTATTCGATTGGCAGCTTCGGAGGGTCGCACGGATTTCTGGCTGATTGGAATTCGTCTTCGCGCTGATTCGAGTGGTCCTTAGGGGTCGAGGAGGTATCTTTGAACAAGTGTCAGAATTCGTCTTTGCTTCGATTAGGAGGATAGAGGAAAAAGTGTTATCCAGCTTTGTTCGCGTCTCCTTAGGAGTTGCGAGGCAATTTTCTCTTAATTGTATTCCTGAACGAAGCAAGGCTCGTGATTGATAGAGAATTGATTTTTGGTGACTACAATCTCTTATGCTCTTGTTCAGTTATTTTCCAACGATCCCTATTGTCACCTTTCGAATGAATGAAACTGTTCTAAAACGTGACACCATTTTTCCTGTAGCGTTTAGAGTCTAAAGTAGTTGAATATTTTATGGATACAGGTATTACCCTATAAATCTTTGAGCGACTATGCTAATGAAGCCGTCGCATAAAGAATCCCAATTGAACACTTTCTGCCGATGATAGCTGGGTCTTGATCGTAGTCCGATACCGGATTTTCCGTGGTGTCGCCGGGAAATCGAAAAGGATCGCCGGATCCTTGAACGGCAGCCGAGAAAGCAGAGGCACGCTTTTGAGTCGACTTTCCCGAAAACAAGAAACACAAGGTAGAGAAGGAAAGGTGGAGAGGAGTGGAAGTGAAAGAGAAAAGTAAACGTACTCGTGTCGAGAGCTAGAACCTGCTTTCTGTCGGTTCGGCGTTTGACGCGCGTCGCTGAAATTCTCGATTCAGGTTCCGCAGGCAGAAGGTTTTTCGTGTACGCGCGTTTAGAAATCCCACTCGAGAGACGCTGCTATAGTCAAGACCCAAATACGCTTTGAAGTTTCAAGCATCATGGCCGATTTTCGTCGTCGATCGGAAGGTTAGGAGCGTTTTACAATTCAGGACAGAGATGTCGGAGAAACCTTTGGACAAACGCTTCGAAACTTCCTGTCGGCGGCGTATACACGGTGGCGAGAGTTTAAATAGGGGATCGCTTGTTCGTAGACTTCAGTCTTTCTATTTGCTTAGTACAGAATGAACATCTCAAATTTTCTAAACACTGTAGTTTCAAAACGAGATAATAAAGGAGACCTTGGTTTTCATTGAATTTCGATCTAATTGAAAGTATGAATGAGTATGAAATACAAAAGGATTAGTAATGAATGTATATAAATCGAATTTGATTTTTCGCAAGAGTTCACCCTATTTTCGTTCCCGTTACCGTACGCACACGCAGTTGCATCTAGAATAAGGAACCGGTCACGTAAAAATAGACGGAATCGAACGTCCCGGCACTTAAACGATCGTCGTTGAAGAACGGATGCTTCTCACAGCACTGATTGGCTTGTTGCGTGCGCTAAGAATAATTAATACGGTTGGGTCACCGCTGATTGGCAGATACATTCATTATACGTTCGCCATTTAATCGTTTCTGTTCTTTCTTCCACCATGAAAATCCATCGACAGCGAATTTTGTCGTGGTCCTCGAGTGCTCGGGTGATTCTCAGCGAGCTCGTGGAAACTGGCACTTGAGAGAGAAAGAGAGAGAGAGAGAAAGAGAGAGAGATGCGAAAACCAGAGGCGAAATATGCTGACTGCAGCATGGCTTTCAGGACTAACCGCAGGGCTTTAATTCGCTGGTACTTTTGCTTTCAGCCATCTTTCAGGGAAAGAGTACCTTTTTAACAGGATTCGGGCTTGGTTTTCTAGCGTTTGGCCTGAAGAAGCTGCTGCTGCCGCTGATATTCGGCGTGCAGATCATTAAGAGCATTCTGCTCGCACTTTTCCTGCCCAGCATCATCGGCAGTATCGGTAATATACTCGGTAAAGGTACGTTCCCCCTTCTCGTTGCATTTCAATAATTAAAAGTACATTTTCTAACATGTTTCCTTATCGATCGAACACTTGGAATATTCTTAACGAACAATAACTTCGTTTCAACAAGTTCTGCAAACGAATAAATAGCTTCAAGCTTTCGATCGATGATAGTCTGACGATATATAGTTTCGATGTTTCGCAGGATCTATTGTAAAATCGTTACTGCCACGAAATTACTAATACCGTTTATGAGTCGTTATCGTTCAGCGATCATCAGGTAACCTTAGTTTCCAAAATGATGCATGAATTAACTTCACAATCATAATCATTGCACCTGCAAGGTAATCTGACGATTACGTCTACGATAAGCTCCGTTGAAAGGAACAAGGACTGCTCTAATTTCGGTGCACGCGACGTTAGGGAAGATTGAAACGATATTTCCGCTTCGATATTCGACTAAAGTGATCATCGATGTATCATACATGTTCCGTTGGAGTGTTTCACTGCTGTAACCTAATTAGACGCCGTTTAATCGACGCCATTTTCAACAGGTGTCTCGTCGTTCGCGCAATCGGCGCACACCACCGCGCAGCCGGAAGAGAATTTCGAGTTCAAGGACAATTCCGACCTGTACAACGACGACTACTTGACTCGACAGCCGGTCGGCACGCTGCCCGCATCCGCGATGTACGACGAAACGATGATGCAGAAGAATCCGGACATCTCGTCGCGGTACACGTTCGTTAATCCCGGTATGACGCACGCGAACGCGATCTCGGATCGCTATTACACTCGTCACGTGGCCGTGAACGGGCTCTCTTCCAGTAAAAAGCAAGACTTCAAGGTAACATCCTCCACTCTGCTACTTTTAATTACTAATTCGTCGCTCGACTTACTTCGGCTCGTAGCGTCGACCATAAAACTATCCACTAGACGCGATAAAACGCCACCCTCTTTCGGGAACTGTAACTCTTGAATAAACAACTGGACGCCCACCTTCGAACAATGCTCCAAACGAGCGAATAAATTTTCAAGTGAACATCTCTCTTCCTTTCTCTATAAATCTGTCGTTGTTTTCTCTATAACCGTAAACACTGGTTGATCAGATACTTTTCTTCAATTAGAACTAGAACCTGTGAAACTTCACACTGACACACATTCCTACTCAAGGAACTAAACTTTTCCTCTCCAACTCCAACACCTCAACTTCGTAAACTACTCAACCATCTCAAACCTTCAACCACTTGCGGTGCAAAGAAATTCTGCGAGACGTCACACTATAAATGCTAAATTCGTTTATTAACCCCTTAACGCACAGTTCTTTTGAAAAAACCGGCCAAGAAGAATCAATTTTAATATACTGCGCCTTTGTTGCATGGAACAAGGCTATATTTTATTCTTGAATAAATAAGTGTTATAGCTTACGATTTTTTCTTTGCTTTCACATTGTAATTTTCACGGTTTGGCCTGTTTAGCGCTCGAATTAACTCGAGCGTGCAAGTTAAGGGGTTAATAATCTCTCATATTACGATATTTGTCAAAACGATTTGGTATCGACGTACAACACGTGGCACGTCTTTCCACCGCAAGTGGTTAAATAATCATCATCGACGTTACACGCACCCAAAAGCTACAAAGACACCTTCTGAAAACTGAAACGAACAGGTGTTCCACGAGATCCCGACGAGCTCGCTGATGCTGACGAACTACGACCCGTTTTACTCCCCGCTGTTGTCGCGCCTGGACGCGGTGTTCTCGCGACTGGGCCACACGACGGAGGGTTGCCGGGAGTACACGGTGTGCGCGATGTACCGGAGCCCGGCCAGGTACGCGCCGTACTCGAATCTGGTCTCCGCGCAGCTGTCGAGGGAGCTGAACGAGCTGCGCAGGCCGAGCAGCGACAACCCGGACGTCCTGCGGTTCTTCCGGTACATGAAGGCCGCGAAGGACGGCCAGGACGGCGTGAAATGCGAGGAAGCGTACGCGAACTGCGCCGTCGCCAGGGACGACCAGACTCTCAGGCAGAACCAGGCCATCCTGGCGACCTACCAGGACATCGACAAGCTGGTTCACGCGAGGAACCTGTAAGAAGACGGCTGGGATCCCTCAGGAATCTTCTAACCGGCGTCCAATCGCCGAGAAATCGACTCCAGGACCGAAAAACCCGATCGGAGGACATTCCTCAGAGTCCCAGCTAGACGACGAGCTAATCGCTAGCGACTCCGTTTTGCTCCGTTGATTGCACGCTGGTATGCAGACGAGTACTTCGAAGTGGCGAAAGCCGAGGGTAATTATAGATGGAGAGTCCGCGGAACCGACTGACCCGCCAGGGTTATTTATACGAAGGATCCAGGCGGACCGATTTGGAGACCGATCCGATCGCTCCGGAGATTAGCGCTCTAGAAAGCTGGCAACTCGAGTGTGGACGAACGCGTAATGGGATGCTCGCGAAGATTGCTCGAGTCGCGTGCGCGATTCTCTATTGTTTCCTTGGTCGGGTGGCTGAAATTCTGGATGCTTTCGAATGTTCGCCCTTCCTGCTTGATGAATTTGATGGTCCGTTGGAGAGTCACTTTTCGCGAGTGCGAAGGATTGACCCTTTGCACTCGAGAATATTCTCAACAAACGTTCGTTATTTTCTTTATGAGATATCAATGTTTTACAACTAACAGAGAAATAGTATAAATTAAGCAGAACTATTTTATTTCGATGTTCCATGTGTCGACACATATCAAAGTTGATATTAAATTCTAAAATATTTAATATTATAACTGGTGCAATATTCGAGCCTACAGAGTTCAAAGGGTTAACCCTTTGCACTCGAGAATATTCTCAACAAACGTTCGTTATTTTCTTTATGAGATATCAATATGCTTTACAACTAACATAGAGAAATAGTATAAATTAACTATTTTATTTCGATGTTCCACGATACATTATATCAAATGATATTGAATTCTAAATTTGATCATTTTGTTCAGTCAAATCAAACGGCGATCGAAGGCGCCGCTCGAGTGCGAAGGTTTAAACTTCGACGGATCGATGTTTCATAACGCAGGAACCAAACGACGATCATTCACATTTTATTGTACTATTATACTGTTTCAGAGTGTCTGAATACTATATTCCAATCTTCGACGCGTTAAAAATTCATTAATCAGAGGCGTGGAAGCTTCGCGAGGTGTCCGATCCTTCGAATACTTCGAATGCTCTCCGCAGTTGCCGCGAAGGTATTCGAGCATCCTTCAGTCAGCCACCCGGCGTTCGGATAATTCGAATGTTTCAGTGTTCGCGCGAGAAATATCTCCGCGTCCGCTCGTGCATACCTTCGTGCGTCGACCTATTGTCCGCGATTGCGCGAGAGAATGGTTTCCCGGAGCCGCCGCGGCAATCGGCGTTTGTTCCGCTGCCGGCCGTCATCGGGACAATTAACGCTCCAATCAAAACTGGGGACGCTCGGCGAGACACTGGCGCGAGAGACTACTTCGCGGGAGGTTAATAGTGAGAGACGATTACGATTGCACCGGCTGCGGTGATTAACGGTACGCGATATCCAGTTGAACAGTGTGTTATTAAGGACTCGAATGCGGTGGTCGTCGAGCACCGCGACTGCAGTTCGCCCGAATGAAATTCTGGATGCATTGTTGATCGGAAGTATGGGACCATGGCGTATAATTAATGGTGGGTTGAAGCACCGGCGTGTAAAAATTTATGAGGCGCCGTGAAGAGGATTCGGCTTGTTGCGCGGTGCATGGGTATTTATGAGGAAATATACCGCAATTGATTATTAGCTATTCTGAATTCTCAATTGGGGAAATTTTACTTTTTATTCGTCTTTTGTAACTGGTGAATAATGGAGGTTGAGAATGTTAGAATTCGGTATTGTGGAATTTTGGGATTTAATACTCTAATTTTTAGATTACTTTGTTAAATCTATTTTAGAGTCGATACTTTATTAAATCTATTTTAGACTCGATGCGTTTTGTAGATATTCCAAGCTTCGATTTACAAAAGTTAATACACAGTGTGGTCAATGAGAAACAGAGTACCTAAATGTTAAGATTGAAATGGAGTAAAACAATTTAACGAACACGTGGAGTAACAGAAATGACAAAGGTTTGAAGATAGTAACTGGTTTCCAATTAGAATTAGCTTTCCAAATCTAGAACTCTCTTGAACACTTTAACGTTAACAATACCGAGTTCAGAAAAGAATGATTAAAATGGTCCCATACTTCTGATCGGTCCAGTAGATTTCAACATTACACCGTCACTCGACGTCACGGAAAATGGACGCGTCGCTACGTCGACGACGCCTCGATTTTCCGGCGCTTGTAGCTCACAGTGATCCACGATTTCGAATCTTGTGAACACTATCGTAGCAAATTGTCGTGACCCGAGGAGCCCGGCTTCGTGACGCTTTCTTAACCCTTAACTACTATAAACATTGAATTACGAATCTGCCGTAGAAGGTTTCACAGACGATTAACCCTTTGCACTCGGAAGTTTCTCGTTAGAAATATTCGGACATTTTCTGATAAAATATAGACGACATTGTTCGAAACTAATTTAATAATTCACGAATAACTTAAGCAACAGGGCCATTCTATTTAAATATTCCACATTGCAAAATGTAATTTCAATTGAAAATACTGTATATTCACATAGTTTTGCTGTATCAAATCAGAACATTATTTACATAATCCATCGATACTCGAAATATTCAAATCAAGCTTCTCAATTTCACGTCTCATTAGCTAGTTTCAAAGAATGTCTCATCGGAAAACATTGAACATTTCTAGTGAAGAACTTTCGACAAAGGGTTAAACGTTAGACTGTAAGTGAAAGGTACGAATGGAGAGGTTATAGGTCACGGAAGAAGGTGAACAGTAGTGAATGAGAATTTAGAGCAGTCCCGTGGACCTTCGATAGTAATTAAGGGTTAAACTCGCGATTCGCGGCTCCGCGGCCTCTAGTTTATTTATTTCGCGGGCGGATGTTAATTTATTAATTAACCGTGTGAGGTGTATGAACGTTCCCGTATAAATTAAATGTTTATTTATTTATTCGACCGGGGTCGGGACGACGACCCGGCGCGGCCCGAGCCGCGTCCATGTACAGTGCGCCAATAAATGCTGTGAATGCGTTACCATCATCGTCATTTCTCTCTTCGGTTAGGTGATCCGGGATACCGGGAACGTTTCGTCACGGTCGGTGTTGTAACTCGGACGCGTTTCGAAGATGTTCCCGGAACTGATTGCGCAAGGAAGGGTTGAACGTCGATTGAACGTGAGAGATGTATAGGGTGTTGCATAAAACGGGCTGGAAACTTGAGAAAATATATCCGAGGAAAATGTTGCCAAGAAACATGTGCCAAGGAATGAATACTTTCTCGATTGAAACTATTTCTCAGTTCTCAACAGTTTCCACTATTGTTTCATTCAAACGATAGAATTCTAATATTAACAGCGAAAGCTTTATACTACTATTAACCGATCAACGATTGCCATTTCTTGCGAAGTCTAATGACAAGAGCACAAGATAACAAGATGAACGAAGGCAGATAACCCTTTGCTCTCTTATCCTGCCAGGATCAAACTTTCGCTTCTGGGATGAAATTCTCTGCTGTGAAAGTATTAATTTCCAGCAATCTATTAGAACTTTTATCTTTCATCTGACACTAAACCTACTGAGTGAAATTACCTTGAAATTCTATATTAATTTCAAGGGTTATCTACTGAGATTTTAATTGATTTATAATTCAATTTGCCTAGTGCTATATTAGTTTCTTTGATAATTCCTCAGAGAAACATCTCTAACAATTGCAAGAACCGAGGATTCTGTAATTTCGACTCGTCTGGTTTAGTGTTAATGAACACAGTTTACCAACCCTTTGCACTCGGAAGTATTTCGTTAGAAACACTTAACATTTTCTAATTAGACAAAAACGATGTTTCCTGAAATGAGTTCAAAGAGAAATCACAGGTAATTCACAGGAAATCACAAATTTTCTAATTTTGCTCAAATCAAATGAGAGTCACCTCTAGAGTGCAAAGGGTTAACAGTATTAACTATTTTTTGTCACCACCCTGTATAGAGGACCACCGCGTTAGACTATAGAGAAAACGAAAGGGGCCGATGACGCACGTTCGACCATAGGATTACGAAGGAAAGTCCCAGCGATCTCGTTTCTTCCTCTCGGATCGTCTCTCTTTGTTGGAATCGCGGCCTGTTCCGGTCCTATATCCGGGGACCACTTTCACTTTCGATTTTTAGCTGCCTTTTTCTCCGACGACGACCCACGCGGATCTTCCCCCATACGCTCCGCGCGGGTCCTTTATATAAACGGGACGCGCCGTCGGGTTCACTGTATGTTCGTTTCGTCGGTGTAATTTTCATCGATTCCGAAGTTCCCAGTTGAAAAGGTGAGAATCGTCCGCGTGCCTCGTGCTGGGAGAAACATTTACTCCGCGTGCGGAGTGACCCGGTTAATCGTCCGAGTACTTTCCTTTGGTACTGGCGAAGGTTCTTCAACCCTTTGCGGTCCGAGGTGCTTTTGATTTTTCATTTTAAAGTGGGAGATCTCTCATTCGGTTGGCTAAGTGTTAATATGACGCTCTGTTTATTTATTCAAGAATATTCGGGAGTCGTTGGAATGTTACCTTTAAATGGTACAATTGTGGTACTACAAATAAATATAGAAGAAATTGTTAAAACAAGTAGAGGTTGCTAAGGGTCGACATAGGGTTAAAGGTTAAGATGCACCATGTTTTTGGTGAAATATGGATTTAACGATTCAGAGGTCTTTTGGGGATGTATACTTTTTGTTGGTATCGTGTAGATGTAGTTGATAGGATGGAGTTGGATGCATTGTCTTCAGTTCAGCTGGTTAATTAACTGAAGAAGGAAGTTCATTAGAGATCTTCGAACTGATTGTTTCTGCTTTGTGCTAATGAAGTTAGTGTGGATAGTGTTTCATTCAGGTCATAAGTATGCAATTGAATATTGCATATGTAGGTGAAGCAATAGAAGCTTAAATAATACAAATTAGGACTGAGTCTCGGTACATTAATTACTGCAGACAGTGTTCAACACGTCTTGATTCTCTTCAATTATTCAACTACATTGAATTTCATTCTTGATTCCATACATTCTTCTTTCTTCCGTATAACTTCTTCGCCACCTGTCTAGCAATAGAAAAATCGGTAGTTCATCATTCTCTGCAGAATCGCAAACTCGTAGCTTCAATCTAAATCTAATATCAAATTATTTCATCCAACCGTTTCATTATAATCGCAAGTTTATCTCCGTCCACCGCATTAGCTATTATTCGCAATATAAAAATAATATTCGTAACATATTATTAACCTAAAAATAATCTAAGCAAATAATCATCGTCTAATTAAATTACAGTAATTCGATTCGTGTTCAACGTGTTAACACATTCCGTGAAAATTTCGGTTATATCCTACGACTGATGCCTTAAATGAAATCATCAGTAACATTCAAGCTTTCACTGACTTTTCATACCGATATTACTTCCGCTGCCACACGTTTCACAGGAAATATTTTAAAAATTAAAAATTAAAAATTCATCGTACCGCAAACGGTACACGCGACACGGAACATGTTAATCAGTTCAAAGTTCAATCAGCGAAGGCCCCAGGAATCACGAAAATTCGGGATCCCTGTTAACCGAGGACGGTGCGTGATCGGCGTAACGAATGTCATGGACGCGCGGCCGGAATACAAGGTTACGGACCCGGTTCCCCTGAACGCCGCTCGCCGATTGGCCCGCCGAGGTAACGGCACTTCGCCGGGGCCCGCAGCGCGGCTACGATCGAAGTGGGCCCGCGGCAGACGCTCGAGTGCTGCCCGTGAATCGCGTCGATCGTTACTTTCTTTTCCCTGTTCCCCGAAATCAGTGAAACGATGCCGTCGACCGCCGCGACCCGGATGCCGATCATTTGACGAAAGATTTGGTAAGGGTCGATTTTCTTCGATTGGTCGTTCCTCGAACGAACGCGCGCAGCTGTTTCTGAACATGTCGGAATAGGTTCGTTTCTCGTTGTTTCTTTGTATTGAAGATCGAGGTATCGATCGATCTACGAGACGGTGCACGTGAGAACGTCTCGTTGGCTAGTAATACGCGACGCACGTGAACTGAGTGTCGATAAGGTGATGTCACTGCAGGTACAACGTCCAGGTGAGCAGCATGCGACTAGTCCCGTTGCTGGTAACCCACGGTCTGGTGCTGTCGTGGATGCTGTTGGTACCGTGCCAGTCGGTTACCTTCGAGGACGGGCCGGCCACCGGCCAATCAGAGGAACGAGGTGAGCGCAGTTTCATTTTATTTCTCTTCTCCTGGGACTCGGAGTCTTCTAGACGAGATAGACCTCGGGTTTGGGGGAAAGTAGGTATGGTTGTTTTTTGTTGGCAGCCTGAGACGAGAAGTTCACTAGATACTCTCTGGAACCGGTTCGACGGAGTGATAACGTTATGGTTGCGTCATCTTGCGTTTGAAGTTCAATGTAATGTGTAGTGTTTTCGAGATAATTAGAATTTTTGTATCATATATTTAATACTGGAACTACTGTAACAGTCGAAATGACTGGTTTCGATTTGTTTGTTTCGCAGTTATTAACTTATAGTGGAAGTATTGATTGTAGGGGGTTGAACGTTACATTGATTATTTTTCACGTTTGCTTTTAGATAACAGTGTGCCAGTGCAACAGGAACAGGTGCCATTCAACAGGACCAGGCAAGGTAAAGGTATCTTCGACTGGATCGGCCTGGGAACGGGACGAAACGTGGATCCTTATGTCGCGAAGACGAATAAGGGCTGCTTGAACGGCGATTTGGCGGAGTGCTTCAAGTCGCAGGCGTTGAGTTACTTTTCTGACTTCTTCGATCACTCTCGCTACGATCTGAATGATTACGTGAAAGTCGTGAGGATGTCGGGGGACGTCGTTCGGGAGGTACATCGTCAGCCGTACGAGTATTCGGGGGAAGCAAGGTATAAGAGTTCAATTATTTAGAAGTTCAAATAATTGACTGTCATCGACGATTTGGCTTGAAGACTCCAGTAGATTCAGATTCGTGATCAGACATCGTATTATAAGAACATAAGGAACTAATTCATTAGTAATTCATGTTTGACGGAGTTTAACCCCCTATGGACCGAAGTTTTTCCGTGACCATAAGAAAATGTGTGCAGTATAAAATTAACAATATATTCATTAGTTTTAATAATTTCATTAAAACGAGTATATCTTGCCATTTTGAAATAACAATAACGAACTTTCACGCCAGAGCGTATAAAAGTTTGTGTTAATTAATTACTGAATTTTACTCGCCACTTTGTTATGGAAAATAAAATAAACCAACGAAATGCCAATATATTGGTATGCGATTTCAAAGTCACACAAGCTTATAGAGGGTTAATTAGAACTTTGTCCGACGCATATTTTCTATTTAGTATTTAATTGATAATCAACGTAATCAATACAAGAAACACCAGAAAAACGAATTCATGATCTATACGATCACTCGATCGTGTAACTTATTACAAGGCGCAGGTAATACAATTATTTCCTCCGATTAATCTTCCTGTCACTTTCAGATCCTCCGACTCAGAATGGGACCAGCTAATGAAGTTCGCCCTAAGAAAAGCAGAGAAGTTCGTGAAAACAGTGGCCATCGAGTTGCACATCCCATCCGAAGAGACCGGCGACAACGAAGTGTACGCTCCTCGATTCTTAGACGAGATCGCTGACGAAATCGACACTCTGGAGAACAAGAAGGACACTCTATTCTGTAAGCTTCTAGCTTCACGCAACGATCTTCTCAATCTTCTCCAGATATCAATCGTGTTTTCCATCTTACAGCACGCCATCAGCTGAAGAAGCTTCTGATACCGATGCTAATCGTTCTGAAGCTGTTCAAGCTGAAATTATTGTTGTTCCTACCTCTGATCCTGGGTCTGGCGTCCTTCAAGAAGTTCCTCGGCTTCCTGGCGATCGTGATACCCGGTCTGATCGGTTTCTTCAAGCTGTACAAGCCGCTCAGCCAGAATTACCACCCCCCTGTCTACAGCCAGAGTGGAATCGGCTATCCTTATTACAAAGAGAACTCGAACAATTACGCGTACGAGCAGGACGCGCATGCTCCTGACTACCAGGGCTACCACAGGGACACCGTGGCCTTCGGCCAGGACCTTGCTTATCGAGGCTACAGAGAGTATCAGTCGTAAAATGATAGTTTCAGACTCTCTATTCTTGAAATTCGTTAGTATTATCAAATAATTGACGTATCAGGGAGCAGATTAGCAGAGTTTGGCTGCCGAAACTCTAAGGAGCAAATGACCCACCATGACTAAAAATAGCATTTTACAACGAGGGAAATTCTTAGCGATTCTCTTTGTACAATAGTAATATTTCTGTATTTTCATCGATCCTCGTATCGACTACGACAGGAGTGTCTGAAGGAGAAATTCAAGGGTTCACGCAGTATTGCCATATGTGAGCAGCGTGTCATTTAAACGTTAGGCATCATTTAGGAGTATTGACTTGTAAATATGATTAAACTTACGGAATTATTTATTACATAGGTCAGTAAGAGATGTGTATTTTATACTTGTGTTAGCGACTAGTAATAAATTCAGTCGATTGACTCAAACCTTCAAGCTTGCTTGATATTACGTTTCCGCACCTGTAACTGATTGAGGTGATCCAAAACAGCACTGCGAATTTGAAGACTTATTACCGAATGATTATCATTTAATACATTTGAATCTCGGATTTTGTTCTCAGCTGAACGGTTATTTTCGACGTCGAGTAATTATAGTCACAATCGTATAATCGTATATAGAGTGCGATATACTGTTGCCATTTTATGGCACTCGTCGAGGTCTGTGAAAACGTCCCGTAAATGGTTCCTCGGCGCGTGACAGAAATATGTGACCTCAGACCATTTTGCTTCCCGATTTCTCAAGTTTCAGCGATCCCCCGGACGATTTCCTCAGCCGGAAGTCCCCGGGAAATGGGGCCATCGGCCCCAACCAGCGTAAACAGATTACCGCCACGCCCTCTTCTTCTTTTATTCGAGCGCGATGCACGGTTTGACCCTGAAATTTAATCTTAATCGACGAGACCTATTACTCCGATCAAATATATCAACATCGAGCGCACGTCTGAGTAACCAGCGAACCGAGAGAGGATTTTTCGTTCCGCCAGCTTGACCACGGGTTCAAAGGCCAACGTCGAGGAAACGTCGACGGATACGGTATCGTCTATTAAATACCGAAGTTGATTGAATAATACCGGGAAATGGAATCACTCTGAATATTAAGAACCGAGACGCACGGTTCGCTGAGTTTAGCGAATCGAATGATCTTTTTACTGCGTAACAGTAGTTAGGGGAGAAAAGTGATCTTGCGATTGGTAACCGTAAAACGGAGAATTCGGAGATTCTATTAATTAATGGAACGGCCACTTATCCCGAATGAATATTGCCGTACGAACGATTAAGGATATTAAGCGACCGTTCGTATCGATCAATCGAAGTTTTGCGTGTTCATTAGCCGATTGTATCCGTATAAATATCTTCCATATTATTCTATCATTACAACTAAAACACTCTAAATTCTAAAAACTATATTTCCCATTTATCACGATAATCATTTAACAATATTCTAATGGTCCAATTGAATTCAACGAGACTTCTTCTCCAACCGCCCGCCGAACCATCCGCGCGATCGCTGCCCGAGCGACAGCAGTCATTCACTGATCGCGCCGCTTTTGTTCCGAACTGTACTTGTTTTCTTCTTCCTTAATGCGACAGCAGCCGGACAAGAGATCCGACGCGATCAAACCGCGCGTGAAAATCTCGTTCCCGGCCCTCCTTCTCTCCGGCGGCGCGTTGAAGAAGGAAAGGTGGACGCGGCAACCGGTTCGATGCGATTCTCACCCGCGATCCAGAGAATCGGATGGAGCGGACCCGTTGACCAAGTGGCCTCATTCGATCCGAAGACCGGAAGCGGTCCGCCGTGCCCGACACGGCGCACGGAAAACACGGAAAACCGTGGCAGCGGCGATGGCGGCGCGTCGCATCGGCGAACGAAGGAAAACCGGCGATTTCGCGAGCCAGTTCGGGCAACAAGGGCTCCCACGATTGAAATCGCGCGCTTCCGTTACGACCGACGCGGCGGTCGGCTCCCGGCATTCCTCCGTGCCCGCGAGGAATCCGAAAATTGCGAGTAACGAGCCCCGATTGGGCGCGCGGCTGCTCGGTAGAAGTGAATACGCGCGTTCGCGTGCGCCTTGAAATGTTCCCGGCGCTTGGGAGCAAGAGATTGTTGCTAGTAGCAACGATTTTTCAATAGAAACGAGCGTATAATAATATTCTGATGTTTATCTATTAACTAGATAGGTGTTCTTGACGAGGACACTCGTCACGAGTGGCGAGACAACTTTTTGCGAGACATTTTAGGTACACTTTTGAGGTCGCAGGTAACCGGTTAATAATTCATGAAGTGCATCACGAACGAGAATATGAGATCTATTTTTCTTGCGTTTCAGATTTTATTAGCTTCTATGTAGAGTGAAGGTTTCATTAGAGTTTACCAGCTGCTGTGTCTATATCTCATTAGAAGTTATTAAATATTCCACTGTAGCGCCGAAGGTAACACGAACAAACGAACGCAATCGTGCCTCGGCGCAACGAAGATTTAGAGTAGCGTTCTCGGAAACAAGACGAAACACGAACGCAAGAATTCCGTGAAGATAGAGCACGCATCTCGACTGACCGCCGATTAATTAGTATACAACGAACGCGGGGCCCCGGGTGAAAAAGGATCGAACGATTCACGGCCGGGGGATTTATTACGACTGCTTCCAAGAAACCGGTGCTCCTTTTCTGAAACATTCCGCGGGTTAACAGGCGATAAAATAAAACCAGACACACCTTCTTGCGGGAATAACGCTGAGCCGGGCGATTATCCTATTTCCGTCTAACAGGCCGGGGCCGGTTGCCGGCTCGCGGACCGTTCGACCATCGATCAGACGCGGATTAAACGATCAGAATCGACGTAGCCGAATGGTCACGTGCGGCCGGTCGTCGATTTGCATTGCCCGATCGCGTTCGCGTCTACCTGTTTCGTTAACTTTCTCCCGGTAACCTTGTTCCCTCATTTTTTTCCCTTGACGCGTTACCGTTCGCGTCCGCCATCTTTACGCACCGGCCGGCCGGCCGGCGTGCCGGCGTGCCGGCCGGCCCGATCGATCGCAACGCAGAATCGTCACGTCTCTGGGTCTGTAATATCAAGGTCACTCCCATCGCGAGATCGCAGCTTCGCAACCTGGATTTCCAGGCGATCGATATCGATCCGCCGATCGGCGACGCTGCGAGGTGAACTAACGGCCAAACGCTTAAAAGTGAAACTATTCGGCCGACGCGGTGGATCTCGCGGGATCCTGCGAGACGCTGATAAACCGAGCGCAGGCTGATAAGAGTTCCACGCGATCGCAGGCCGAACAGGTTTGTACCGTTCACGGAAGCTTGTAAATCGGCGCCGGTTATCGGACTGCTGCGTGAAAAACGATGGAAACCGAGAGAAACGCTGGAGCGCGGGAAAAAATTCGTTTCTTTCAGCGGTTCCGACGGTGAAACTTTGTTTTCTTTTCATTGACGAGCTTGCCCTGAGAAGATAAGGATATTGCGCTGTTATCGCAAGTTTCACTTAAATCGCGGAGTTAGTTCTTGATGCAATCGTTTCTGTTCTGCGGTTGCTGTATTCTAATATAACATTTTTAGAAATATTAATTTACAGCTTATCGTTTCACTCGTTTTTAGAGTGAATTGAAAGCTTTTTTAATTAACAATTTCCGGTGCAGAGATGATAATTCTAAGATACTGTCCTCATTCAGAAGGAAATAAGTGTCTATTTAACCCACAGCGAATGAAACTTTGAACACCTGTAATCCCATGAACAGCCTCAGTTTAATTATGATGTTAGTTATAGCAGTATTTCAGATAATTACGTGTATTGTTGATGTGTAAAATGCACGGTTGTCCACAGTAATGGCGTCGGCCGAATGTGATCAATGAACAAAGCGCCAGTACGAAAGCAGATCTTCCGATTTCACCGGAAACCGGTCACCCACGCTGTCTGGCCGGCGAAACAAGCCTGGCGACCGCGACCCTGACGAATCGGCCGATTGGAATCCGACGTAACGGTCCGCGGAGTACCAAAACACATCCTCGGGACCGTGAGATCGTGCCGGCCACGGCGAATAATCGGTTACCATATACGAATCACCGCCGGCACACTTTTTCACGTTTTTTCATTGGCGTTTGCCTCCGCGCGTTTCGCCAAACGATCCCCGCAAGCACGGGAACCGGGACGTCCCACGATTTTCGATTCGAAGTACCACTTCCAATATGAAGTTGTGAATCTTGTTGATTTTAATGGCTTCCGTGCTGTTAACCCTTTGCACTCGAGACGCGACGTTCGGCCGCCACTCGGTTTAACTAGCGAAATCATGGAGTCTCGTATTTAACATTAACCCTTTGCACTCGGAAGTATTTCGTCAGAAATATTCAACATTCTCTAACTAGACGACGATATTTTTTGAAATTAACTAAAAGAAAAATCAAGTGAATTGAGAAACAAAGCTTTTTTCCCAATATTTTACATACCGATGCATTGTATACAGTTCAATATCGAATATCAAATTTTATAGTTTTACTAGATGAAATCATGACTGAGAGTCACCTCTCGAGTGCAAAGGGTTAAGCTTTGTGATAGCGCGATATATGAAATATTGAAACGAGATTAATTTACTGGTGATTTCTCTTTAACCTTATCATCTTGAACGGTACGCCATTAGCGGTACAACTCTCATCGATAGCGATTATAGTCTAATCTAACGCAACACGGTGACCAATTGAAACTTTATTTATATTTAATTTATTTAATTATCAAACCATCACAGATAAACAACCTACAGAAATGTCGACCGATTACCACCGTTTCTCACGGTGCTTCTCGTTGTAAACAAACAGACAGATGTTTAAGTCGCGAGTCGCCAAACCGGAGGAATGTTAATTGGACTCGAGAGACGCGGATTTGCATAAGAATCCGCGAGTTAATAGCTGAGTACACAGCATCTGCGGCGGACACGGACGAAATAAAAATGTGAAACGCGAAAGCCGCGTAGTGGTCCGCTCAAGAATGAAAAGCGGATCTGCGGTCGTTTTTCCTGTGTGACCAGATCCTCGTCGCGATCTCTACGTCCGCGTACTGTCGCTTAACAGCCTGCCGATCCTATCAAGAATTTCAAGAACGACGTCTCTTCTCGCGCAGGTACTCATCTATCAACCGGAACGCAAACACAAGCGGTTGCTTTCTAGCGTGGTTCCTTTTCTTCTACCGGCGAACGACGTGTCGCGTGACCAGGAAAGTGTATCGGGAATACGGAACAAATGGCCTGCGCCCCGTGCGATACGTTTCAACAGATACACGGACCGCCGCGGAAAGTGTTCTGCCGATTAAAACAGGGACACCGCAGAAGTTTTTCCGTCGAACTGCTCGGTAAACCGAGCCTGTTCACGATCCGCGGATCATTCATCGGTGGTTCATGTTTCTTGCTTATTCTCTCAACGGCGAGATCAGAGATGGAACGAACGTCGAGAAATGGGAACTCCGTGTTTCCGAATTTGGACGAGATCCAAAGTTTCTCGCAGAAATTTGCATGTTACTAGAAACTTAGTTCTCGATTCTTGTGACTGCTGAAATATTTTGTAGAGATTGGAAGTTTGAATTTTGAGGATCAATGCTTTATATTTGTTACGTATTTAATTGCAGAATATAATGAAGTCAATAATAATGAAATATCGTTCGATCGCGAGAACAGTTCCGTTGATAATGGAATTTCTGCATAGCGTTAATCGTCCAAAGCGGTTCTGTTTAATTAAGCGAACTGATTACAGCCTGGCGAACGCGCTCGAACATTGGCACACTTCGTCGTACGCCGACCGCCCGGAACGCGTTGTTCTTCCCTGGCGTAATTGTTCCTTGTTACGGCACTCGCTGCCGCCATATTTACTTTCTTTACGAGTGTAATATACCGCCGAACCCGTTGCTTTCCAACAGTCTTTTTCGCCTCGATTTGAAACCCCGTGCGCGACATGGAATGTCCCTCGCCCAGGTGTCCCGACGCACGATCGTTACTTTTCCCTGGTTTCACCGGCAACCACGAGTACATCAATTCGCAATTGCAAAAATAAGAACATATTCCGCTAGCCCTACAATTTCTTCTACAACTATGATAAAGATATTCTATCAACAATTTCATAGAGAATCAAAAGACTTCGATGACTCCACGTCTACCCAGTCAACAACAGTAATCTCCAATTTCTAAAGCAAATCAAATTTACATTACTAAATTCAATGAAAATTGAATATTGGCACCATAGCCAAAGGGTTAACTAAACCCACAAGCTACAAACTATTACACGAAGCCTCACCCTCAACAATGTCACAACTCTCTCCAAGTACGCCTGAAACCCAAAGCAACATCAAACCAACCCCTACATTCAACTCCACTCTCCGAGTCATCCCAAAAGACAACATAGCAGCGCGTGCCAAGTAGAAAGATCAAAGCGCTTTATTTTTCAAAAAATGTTCCCCGGACCTTAGAATGTTCGGCCGGGGGTAGGTACATAGCGCCTTTATGTCGAAGGCTATATCCAATAATAATTTGATACATATATATATCTGTAGTATCTAGAATTATTTAGCGTAGGTTAAAGTATTGTAAGATGAATGGTTCGTTGGATGTTTGGAAAATAGTGTGACTGCGTTTAGAAAATCTCGAGCGGCTGAAAGAACACGAGGAAGAGTGTCTGGAACTGAGCGACTGGACCGCGAGAAAAGCGTGTACGCGACTGCGTCAATTTTGACTATGGACGAAAGATGCGAGTGAGAAGGGTGCAAGGGTGAGAAAGACAGAGCGAATGGGGGTGTGTGTTAAAAGCGAGTGGGAATGCGTGCGAGGACATTTTGGCGAGAGACAGCGGAGAACATTTTTGTGCGTGAAAGAGTCGTGTGTTGACCTTCGTGGTATTAAGTTGTATTTTTACGTGTTGTCCATATTGTTTCCTAATTCTCTTTTCACTGAAGATCCACCTTTTCGATATCTATAAGAGTAGCCCCACTATAAACTTGTGGGCTCATCCGGGATCGCTATACATCTCAAGTCAGTTAGCTACAATTCCACGGAGATTCGCGCGGAACAACCGAAACGGCCGGGCGTTCGGCCATTGGCGTGCGTGCTCCACATCCGTGACACGGTTCTCGCGTTGGGTCGCGGGTCCCCGCGACACGGCCCAGGGTTCTTCGACGGTGTGCGTGGCCGAGCTCGCGCCCGTCCGTCCGTCCGGTCGTTCGGTTGGCTCACAGTGGTCCGCTGATGGCGAGCCCGGAGGTGTTCCACGCCGGGAACCAGTTTCGCGACGAGGGGAACGATCCCTCTACCCGTTTTGCGGGATCGGTTCTCTTTTCAGCCGGCGATCGCCCGGCCGGGAAGGAGGCAGTCGATCACGGATCCCACCACCGGGGCTACCGGAGCGACCAGTCAGCCAGCCTCTGGTATCAAAGGCAAAAGTGGGCACCACCCGCCTCCCCAAGCGGCCGCCGCCGCCGCCGCTACCGCGCTATCCGGCGGGATGATGGTGGTGGGCCCCGGCCGGCGGCGCGCGAAACCTTTTCGCGGCGTGGCGTTGTTAACCCGGCGGATCTTACGTATATAAAGTGGCCGGGGCGAGACGACGGGTTCAGAATACTCGACACGCTCGGTCCACGCAATCGGGTGACACGCGCGAAGCGACCCAGCCCGTTCTTCGTCTGCCAGGAAGGAAGAGAGAAGAGGCGCCAGCAGCGTGCCCTCTGCAGCTTCCGGTCTACGGTTCCGAGGATACGAAACGAGGTCAGTGGTCAATTGTTCTTTCTTTTTATCAGGTAGCTCGAGGATCTTTTCTTTGCGGGTTTTGAAGGATGATGGGATGGGATATTATTGGGAGGTTGCTGTTATGAGTTTTTAGGTGTTTTTGGTTTTGTGAGATTGTATTGGTGATTTTGGAGGTTTCGTTTTGGGAGTATGAATTTAGCTTGGTTGTAAGTGGGATTGGGTTCGTTGTGGTTCTTTTGGTAATTGAGTGTTGGTGAGGATTAATTACCTGTGCGATTGAATTGGTCGTTTCAGAGTTTGTTAGGAAGAATTTTGTTTTATTTGTCGTTGATGGTAAGGGTTACTTTAGGAAGTAGTAGATAATTTGATGGTTAATCGTAGTGATACAGGTGGTTAACTTTGAGATCTTTATTTGATTACTAATTAAGCTGGTTCTGTATGGAACTTCATTAGGATCAGTAAGATACAAAATAACTGTGTAATTATATAAATATCCTTAATCTTGTCGAACAGTGAATTTAAAAGGTGCAGGATTTCACTTACGTTTCAATGGGAAGTCATGAAAAATGAGATTACCGTAATTATGGGTGAAAAAGTACGTCTGTATCGGTTGCTCGCGATTTATGGGTGACCCACATACAGTCGGACACGTCAGGCAGTGATTTTTCAGGAATGCAATGAATAGAAAACGTCAGGATTTATAAACGTTGCGTGGAACTAGTGTACGGCGCGTGCCGGTCCGGTGACTTCGACGCGTGGTGAAGCGCTAAATCACGCGGTCCCGTACATTATAGAGCCGGCGCGTAATAGTAGCTTATTAACCGCCGAAGTACAACGTACACTTAATTTTCTAATAACCGTACAGTTCCAGCTGAGCGCCGATCAAACGTCTCTGTCATCTTGTTCTTCAATTTCTGCGAGGATAATTCTTACATTGATACATCGCGAGTAAGATTGGCTCGAACGTAAATTACACGACTGTCGACTCGAAGCGTTATAACACTTTACTTATTGTTCGCCGATAAATAAGCGGGCTAATTTTATTTCTGACACCTTTCGATACGGTAATTGATACCCTCCGATGCAAAAGTACTTTTTAACACACTATCGAAGCATAAATCAAAAGAGGAAACTTATCTATAACTAGGTTACAGTATTTTCAATCGTATGGTAACTCAGTCTTAGGAATTTGACTATACAAAAATACTGATTTTCTCGAAGAATCTATCGAAAACTCGACAAAATGGAGTTTCAAGAATTCTACGAAAGAATAACTCATTCGACTGTTTGGCAGTTCTAATTTAACACCAGATTTACGGACGTTTATTGTGAAGCTTGTTTCATTGTCCCTAGAAAAATTAATATTCGTTGCTTCAGATCTTGAGAATCGGAGATTGGAAGATAGACAATAAAGATATTCACTCGTGTAATTGCTTCAACCAAAATCGACTTACTCATTCACCGTATAACCTTTATAGAATTCAATACGCGTCAAATTGATGCGTCGCGTAAACCTAGTGTTAACGGAAAGTTCCAGTAATTTCGAATTGCAAGTGAATTATCTAAGAAATTTGTTTCACAGGGGAACACGATGAAGGGGATACTATTATTCCTGTCGATCTCATGGGCGGCGATGTGCCTGGCGAACCCGATGGAGAAGCTCGACAAGCTGAACACGCTCGAGCAGACGTCGCCGACGGTAACGGACCGCGCCAAGTACGAGGAGGAGCTCCTCCGTAAATTGAACTCGAACTGTTCCCAAAACCACCTGAGCAGCTGCGTGATGCTGAAGCTGGTGACGCATATGAACAAGTTTCTGAAAAAGGCGTCGATCGAGCTGACGGACGACATCGAGATCAGAAAAACCAGCCAGGTCGCCGAGGAGGTGGTCACGTTCGAGGCTGGCCGCAGCAAAGACGACGAGTCCGAGGTCCTCGACCTTGTCGCGAGCAAGGTGTACGCGTTCATTAGGTCCAGGAGCATCAAATGGAGGATTCTGCCGGAAGACGACGTCGTCGTCTCGGCTTCCGAGGACGAGAACGGATCGTTAAACCTCAGCCTGTCCATTGAACGGTCTGACAACCCTGTGCAGGATGGTAATTATTTTATGTAAACTTTAACCACTTGCTTCATGACAGTCTTTAATTCAATATGAGACTAATTGTAACCGTAGAATGAATTTTATCATTCGAAGCTAGAGATTCGAGAGAATTCAGATCTAGAGTCGAATATATCTAGCTAGGATATATCTTATCACTTGCTTCATGACAGTCTTTAATTCAATATGAGACTAATTGTAACCGTAGAATGAATTTTATCATTCGAATCTAGAGATTCGAGAGAATTTAGATCTAGAGTCGAATATATCTAGCTAGGATACATATGTAAACTTCAAGAGGAAACCTCAAGTAACCTTTGATTCAACTCGAGCCCTTAGAAGAATCCATATCCAACACTGCCAATATATATCCCATCGAAACCCTTCCCATAAATCACCGATCACCATCGAAGTTCAAAGACCCAACCCAGTAACGTAATCCTAGCAGCAGCGACCTCCTAGAGACGAAACGAAGGTGAATCCCAGACGCTGGCTCTCACTCCAACAATTACAACCTTGCCGAGTGTGGAGTTCTTGCATCTGGCAGGCAATTCGGTCACGCCTCGCCAGAGTTTACTGCCATAGAAAGTCCCCAGTTTTACCTTCCCCGACGAAAGCGACAACCGTCTGATCCCGGCGCGCATCTTCCAGGTCGCGGGAAGAAGAACAACAACCTTGGACCCCTGATCGCCGCCGCGGTGCTGAAGATCGGCCTGATCGGCGGTTTGGCCTTCAAGGCTCTGGCCTTGCTGGTCGGCAAGGCGTTGCTCCTGTCGAAGATCGCTTTGCTCCTGGCGGGCATAATCGGCTTGAAGAAACTGTTCTCCAGCCAGAAGCACGTCACGTACGAGGTGGTCGCGCATCCTCATCACAGCTCCAGCCACACCTTCAGCTCCGATCACGGTCACGGGGACAGCTACAGCAGCGGCTGGGCGAGGAGTTTCCATGGTCAAGGGCCCATTCCTGGGCAACCGGACGCCCACGAGTTGGCCTACTCGGCGCACGTCAAGTGAACGCAGCCATCCGACCCGCGGACCCCGTCTCGCGGCACCTAATTACGCCGCGCGGAGTCCGAGGGGTCAACTTTGCTATCCGACTGACCTGCTTGCCCAGCACCCTCTTGCCTTTAATTTAATTCTTCTTTAGTATTTAATTCTTCTCTCTCTCTCTCTCTCTCTCTCTCTCTCTCTTTCTCTGTGTCTGTCTATCCCTCTCTCTCTCGCTCTCTCTGTCGTAATTTTGTTCTAATGATCTTCATCTACGTTTGGGCTAGAACTGTTCACTCATTCGACTCGGCTTATTCATCACTGACTGATCGACGGACGGGACCCTGTGACGGACGTAATGTTCCTTTGTTGCCTGTTTAGGAGTTCGACGTTTGATCTGATTTCAAGGGGAACTTTAATTGGGAGCTTGTTAGGGATTGATCTGTTGAAACTGGAATTGAGAGGATTGATTGGCTTTAGTTGATATTGAGTATTGGGGTTATGTGGATTGATTAAGGGGAATTGGATTCAAATTGGAACCTGGTTTGTAGGAATTGAGGATTGATGAATATTGAATGTAGAGATGTTCGGAATTGGAATCTGAATTAATTAGTACTCGACGCCGAACTTTTACACGACCGACCATCAAGACTTGAATCGACAGATCGTGAAATTGCGTCCTCACGACTAAATCATTCGACCGAATAATTCCGACCGACCGACGGACGCGACGCCGCCATCGACGCAAAAGACGTAGACTCACACCTTGTAACTATACTCCATCGATATTATTTATACTTAACTTATTCGTCGCGCGACTGTACCATAATGTACTCACGTTGTTTTCTTGTGTATAAATAAATATTTATTGTATTTTCTTTTGTAACGCTTGTATTCCTGCGAAGAACAGGCTAGTTGTTAATTTCATTGATCTAGGGAAAAGCGTCACCGCGACCATTGTACACCGTTCGTACCCACTGTATATACTGCGTGCACGAAAGAAAGAAACTCAGCAACTCTGTACATCTTCTCCACTTATTTCAACGACTCTCAACAAGCACGACACTCTATTTATTCCGACAACGAGGCGATCCTCCGAAGCTACCTAAACGGTCTCACGCGTGACTCCTGCGGTTACGCAATTTAACGAGAGATCGAGGCAAGACAGGTACGCGCCAGTAAGAAGACAGGAGAACCGGGTAGCAGTCGTTCGCCGCAAGAGGACGCCATCTCGCTCGGATGACTCGCGATCGAACGCGCAACCGCGATCCGAACGAAATCGCGGTGCTCCATCGCTGAACCGGAAACACCGTCGTTTCCCTGTTGCCCCGTTAATTGCAGCCATCGGCGCAATTATCATTGAACGGAGAACGAGGCACGAACATCGTTAACAGGCACCTGCCGATCGCGATCGGCGATTAAAATAATTCCCGAGCGAATCGAAAGCTCGTTTCGCGACGCAAAACGCGTCGCAAGCGCGTCGCCGTCGATCGAGGAGCGATAGCCGCGCGCGTGTGACGCAGTCTGATTAATTGCAAAGGTATGCAGCCCGTTATCTTCCGATTTGGTCTGTTTGCGAGCCGGAAACCAGTGAAACGGATCCGTGTGCTTTTCATTACGACCGATTTAACGGCGGAGCGCGGCTAATCGCTCCGTCGGCCATTGTCGAGCCGCGTCCGGCGCGAATGCGATCGGTCTAAACGTTTCCAATGAACCGTTCGAGACCGTTCGGAAGGAGCTCGGTACAATTATTCCAAATCGAACCGCACGACACGCGGCGCTGAAAATATGTCGAACGTCTCGTATTCATCGCGCCGCGCTCCGGTTTGCGGAACTTAGCGGGACTCGGGCCGGTGTGACGATCGCGTCGAGTTACTCCAGGAATGTAATTCCACGCGGTATCTCGAATAATTCGCGTCTGTTCCCGATAATCACAGTACGCCGGGGTCGAAACGACGCGCGGAGGATCTAGGAAATGACCTAGAATGAAGGAAACCTGCCGACTATGACGCGTTACACGAGGAAATCTCGGAAACGGAAAATACTCGAGAATAAAGTATAACGAAGTGTACACGGTACTTCTATCTAACGGACAACAGTCGAACGAATCGTTTCATTGCCGATGCGATATAACGTCGAGCGTTCAAGTTCGAGCGAACATGCATTTCCCCGGGAATGTCCGGCGGGCACAGAAGTTTTACTTCGTTGACCCGGATGTCTCGGCGAAGTCAACGCGCGGGCAACTTTCGGAGGCGTCAAAGATGATCGGAACGAAGGGAAAACCGGCGGGCCGAGGGGGGAGGGGAGGGAGCGGTGCACGAGGCATCTTTCATTCAAATAAGTCGGCCTCGTTTCGGCCGGCAGCTTTCTCCTCCGCGATTGGGAAGAATCGGTAAGGAGATGACGGCGCGATAAGGGACGGAGAGAGGCGTCCCTCCGGGAGGATCAACTTTCGGTTTCGGGTGAGAAGGGGACCCCCGTCATCGTTGACCCCGTTCGACGAGCGGTCCTCGTAAATCGGTAAAAATCGACACGTGTTCCAGCCGACAGCAAGTTCGACGATTAAAAAGCAATTCCGCTCGTTCGCTTCTCTGTCATGCGGACCATCGAAGTTCCTTCGCGAACGTTCGGTTCGAATCGAACGATAGAATCGAACGATGGAATCGAACGATGGAATCGAGACGCGGCGCGATAAGGGAGACGAAATTCTTTCACGGAGCGGTCCGGCGTGACCCGATTTCTTTTCACGGCCACGGTTTTCGCCGGATTCGGAGAAATTCGTCGCGAGAGGAGAAAGTATCGGATATTGATTGAATCTTCTTGTTATTGACACGGCCACGGCCGAGGCGGCTGCGTGTCCGGCGGGGGCCGGCGGGGCCGACACACATTCTGCGGATCGAGAAAGGAGAAAACACGTCCGAGATAGATTCTAACGTTCGCCTTGCGCTCGCGGAAGTGCGGAGAGAAACCGTGGACTAATTAGAGGCTCTGATTCTCCTATTAGACGCCGGAGAATGCCGCGCGTTCGCGGGCTCGCCTTAAACCCGGGGGCGCGACCGAAATCTGTAACTCGAGCTGTTTGGCGGTGAAACGAACTTAGCTTTAGGAGAATGCCGGAGGTTCGGTTGTGGAAGACTTTCTGGTTTCGAATGGAGAATTTGCGATTTGAGTGGTTTGAGGAATAGAGAGTTATTCCTGCGGTTTGTTGTGTGGTTGAAGTAGCTCACTGGAGAGGATGTTAAAAGGAGACTTCGCGATTAGGAATTGAGTCGATGAGAAACGTTTAACGATATGAGACAATTCGTACGATAGATTTCACGTTGAAGGATTTCTAATAGAAACAATGTTATACTAACTATACGATTGAATAGTTTCATATCATTAAATACCGACATCAACATTTAGGCGACCTCCTAAAAACTATAACTACAACCTCCTCCATTATCTTCAATAGAACTCATTCAATCAATTCGGTTAGAAACTGTTTCGAACCGCATTTGATGGACTGCAAATAATCCGACTTACTAACCAACAAAGGAAAAGATAAACAGAATAGAAGGCAATCGTTGCTAAGTGAAAAGCGGGAGATATCTTAATATCATTAATGAACGAACCTCCTAATCAAATACTCATCACTTCCAAAAGATACGTTTACCGCAAGCTTCCTACAACGATCTCTGAAAATCTAGAAGTAACAACCGTACCATCCGCCATTGCAACATTCAACATACTCCTCCCAAGATGTCCGTCCCAACATAACCTCACTTCAACGAACAGCCCTAACCTAGCTCAACTCACAGCATCCTCATCCGACTAATCAACGCAACCCCTAACTCTGCTCGAACGGAAGCATCGTCCCCTTGAACCCCAGCCGGAAGAAGGGAGCAAATGCGAGGGACACGCGGTCAAAGGCGAACTCCTCCCGCCGCGTCCCCATGGCCGTCGATCCGGTTTCAAGGATACACGATCGTCCGTGTGGCGTGGCGTCGTCCCGAGGAACGAGCGAACGGTTTCGTACCGGGCCTAGTTATACCAGCCAGCCGGTGTTACGTATATGTATACCGTATCGTATCGGCGGGCGTACGCGAAGGGAAGTGGAACAGAAGAGAAAGGTATGCGGCCGGGATGAACTAGTTTCGCGGGCGAGGCGATATCTTGTCGCAGCCGATCGGCCCGAGAGCCGAGAGCCTCCCACCACGCCTCGCGCCGCGATCCTTGAATCGAATCCTCCGATCGAAGAGAAAGGATTTCAAGCGAAGGGTGCACCGGCCGGTGTCACGCGACGCGACGCGTCGTCGGATCTTTCCCTTCATCCTCGAGCGACTCGTCAACCGGACCATAGCTCACGCGTCTAATTTCCAAGACGGAAGAACGCACGCGTTCCTCGAACCCGGTAATTACGAATTGAACGCGCAGGCGGGTCGCGCCGGGAAAATCGGCCACCTTCTCTTCCGCTCCACTAAAGCGCGGAAAGAGGGAAAGGAAGAAGAAGACGCGGCACGGTCCTCGCCGTACGCTTGCATCGGGAATCGCCGATCGTCGATCTGGAGCAGCGCTGATATCTACGAATTGGCTTCCTTGTCGCCATTTTCGACTGCTGTGGTCGTTGATTGAGTCTCTGATGATCTCAGCCAGGAATAGATTGACTGAGGAGTATTAGGTTTTCAATGCTTATGAGGAATTAAGCTGAGGGATAGATCGACTCTCGATGTCTATTAGGAACTAAGCTTCTTTTCCTAATAAGTTCAGTTCCTACTGATCCGGGCACCGAGGAGTTAAGCTTGCTTCCCAGGAAGCACTCCGAATATCGCAGATGAACTAGTTTACGCTTCTAAGGTCCGAAGACTCAGGGTTTCGATGCCAGCCGCCGAAGATTCGGATCTCCATCCGGAGATTGTAAGGTCGACGCTGGTCCTCGGCGAGGCGAAGGCGGCACTGATCTAGAAGAACGAATGCGAGGTGTTCGCCGCGCTTTCGCGGCGGCGGATCGTCGACCGATCCCGTCGCGCGTGGCGTCGAGAGACGAG